GTCCACATTATCCATTTATCAATTCACATAACCTTTTTGCCTTTTTTTTTTATCTCAATCATCCAATCACACACAACATATAAACCAGTAATGGACACCAAATAAGAGAGTACAGTACCGGTTTCACCATTATACAAACCATAATAAAAGAAACCATAGTTCATGCATACGAGACCATAACATAATTACATCAAATATCATGCTGCATTTAATACTGAAAATTAGATCAAACAATAACAGACCAACACTATATCAGACTCGGGCCCCATTGGCAACCTAAATCAATTATACATCTATAAAGTCACACAGTACAGTTTAATTATTTATTTAGCTTTAATACCGTGATAGGAAATAGGGTGAGGGGTCCTTACCTGTTTCGGGGTCTGAATTCGACTCTACAGTGCGCCTACAGGCTGTCCCTAATTTCCCTGAATTTTTTCTGGGAAACTGAAACGCACTACCGGTACTGGCGGCGGTGCTCTCGGGTGTGACGGCTCCTCCGGCGTGAGTCACGTTTTGGTGTTTGGCTCCGATCAACCTATAGAGAAAAGAACGGTGATCACAGTGGTATAAAATTTGCATCGAACGGAGGCCGGAAAAGGCCTCATCGGAGGCAAAAACTGAGGAGGGGCGCGGTGGCGCCGCTGGGCTTCGGCTAGGTTTTTCAGCCGTTTGGCCAGTAGTTTGGCTCCAATTTGGCTATAGGCGGACTCAGCATCGAAAAACGAGCAAGGAAGAGAAAATTTACCTCGATCGGTGGTCGGAAACTTCCCTGGTGCGACGGCGAGTGGCGGCGGCCGGCTCTTTCGGCGTTTGGTTCTTCTTCTCCGGCGAGGCACTGGCGGCTAGGGTTTTTGTGGTCAGGTATGGGTGGGGTTATTTATACCCTTTGCCTTTTAATCTCAACCGTCCATCAAGATTAAATCTGAGCCGTTCGATCGCACTTTAATTAGGATTAAATCTGGGCCGTCCGTGCGCACGTTTGATCTGGGTCGTCCGATCGCGCGCACGCGAATTGCTCACGTGGCCCGTCCCCTGGTTAGTGTTTTCTTGCCACTCGGTGCGTCCTGATTGGCCGGAGCTGCTGACCGGGCCGCTGATGTGGCTGCTGACGTGACACAACTTTTTTAAATTACATTTTGACCCCCAGTTTTCGATTTTCTTTTCAAAAACACCCACAGAATCCAAAATTTCACCATTTTTTCCCAAAATCAATTTCAATTAAATCCAAATAATATTTTTACCCA